CCCTGTAAATATAAATATATATATAAATATATATATATCTTCATACTCTCTGAAGTATTTCTTTAGAGTAGATTAAATTTATGGTTTTAAAAAATAAGTATGTTCTAACAAGGGCTACTGTACAAATACAGAAACAGTGACACTCCAGCCAGCAACTAGATCTTGGATCCTAATTTTTTTCTCATTTAAAGAAGCCAGAACAACTTCAGGAAACAAGAAAATTATCAAATAAACAATCTAAATTTACACTTAAAGGAATGGAAAAAACAGCAACGACATCCACAGCGAGTAGAAGAAAGGAAATAATAAAGATCAGAGCAGAAATAAATGAAATGCAGTCTAAAAATACAATACAAAAGATCAATGAAACCAAGAGTTGGTTCTTTGAAAAGATAACCAAGATCGACAAACCTTTAACCAGAGTCACTAAGAACAAAAGAGAGAGGACCCAAATAAATAAAATCAGAAATGAAAGAGGAGAAGTAACATCTGACACTAACTATAAAGAAATACAAAAGATTGTAAGAAAAGATTACAAACAACAGAACAATTATTTGCCAACAAATTGGACAATCTGGAAGAAATGAATAAATTCCTAGAACCATACAGTTTTCCCAAACTGATTCAGGACAAATCAGAGAATCTGAATAAACAGATTAAAACTAGTTAGATTGAAGCAGTAATAACAAAACTCTCAACAACTAAAAGTACTGGACTGAATGACTTCACAGGTCACTTTTATTACACACATTCAATGAAGAACATAGCACCTATCCTCAAAGTATTCCAAATAATTCAAGAGGAGAGGGAACTCCCAAGCTCATTTTATGAAGCCAGCATTATCCTAATTCCAAAACCAGGTAAAGATGCTACAAAGAAAGAAAATAATAGGCCAGTATCCCTGAGCACAGATGTTAAAATCCTCAACAAAATATTAGCAAACCAGATCCTGAAATACATTAAAAAGATCATACACCATGACCAAGAAGGATTTATTCTGGGATGCAGGTTGGTACAATATCTACAAATCAATAAATGTGATACACCACATAAACAAAATGAAGGATAAAAACCACATGATCATATCAATGGATGCAGAAAAAGCATTTGACAAAATCCAGCACTCATTTATATATATAAAAGGCTAACTGACCATCCAGCCAGCCGGTACATATGATGTGCACTGACCACTAGGGGGCAGATGCTCAACATAGGAGCTGCCAAGGTTCTCAGGTGACGCACCCTGGAACAAGAGAAGAGGGAGCCCGATTCCTCACAGGGCCATGCAATTCCACCTTCAGCCATGGGTTATGCTGTTGCTGGGGCACTGTTGGCCCGAATCTGGTTTACTGCTGAGCTGCAGTGACTTGGCAATGTAGGTTCTTGGGTGACTCACCCCAGAACCAGCGAGGAGGGAGCTTGATTCCCCACAGAGCCGTGCGATTCCACCTTTGGCTGTTTTTATATCATGTCTTTGTTGTTATATTGTTATTGTTTATTAATCAATTTATATATTATTTTCATATACATTTTACTAATTTTCTTTCATCTCTGACATTTCTATTATAGAGAAAGGGTGAATAGCAATATTAAAATATTTATTCTAATTAATTTCCTTTCCATGTGCATGAATCCATGCACCAGGCCACTAGTTTATGATAAAATTTCTCAGCAAAGTGGGAATAGAGGGAACATACCTCAACATAATAAAGGCCATATGTGAAAACCCTACAGCAAACATCATAATTAATGGGCAGAAATTAAAAGCATTACCCTTAAGATCAGAAATAAGATGGCGATGTCTGCTTTCACTACTTTTATTCAACATAATACTGGAAGTACTAGCCACAGCAATCAGACAAGAAGAATAAATAAAAGGCATACAAATTGGAAAGGAGGGCATAAATGCTTTTATTCACAGATGACATGATATTACACATAGAAAACCCCAAAGACTCAACCCAAAAGCTCCTAGACCTAATAAATTTAGCAAAGTAGCAGGATACAGAATTAACATTCAGAAATTCAATGGCATTTCTATACACCAATAATTAACTATCAGAAAGAGAAACTAAACAAACAATCCCATTTACTATTGCAACAAAATTAATAAGGTACCTAAGAATAAATTTAACCAAGGAGGTTAAAAACTTGTACTCCAAAAAATTATAGGACTTTGAAGAACAAAATTGAGGAAGATAGAAATAAGTGGAAGATAGAAATAAGTGGAAGCATATACTGTATTAATGGATTGGAAGAATTAACATAATTAAAATCTCCACACTACCCAAAGTAATCTATAGGTTCAATGCAATTCCATTAAAATACCTACGGTATAGTTCATAGATCTACAAATATTCCAAAAATTTATATGAAACCAAGAAAGATCCAAATAGCCTCAGCAATCTTGAGAAAGAGGAACAAAGTTGGAAGGATCACAATAACTGATATTAAACTATACTCTGAAGCCATTGTAATCAAAATAGCCTGCTACTGGCATAAGAACAGAAAAATAGATAAATGGAACATAACAGAAAGCCCAGAAATCAACCCATGCCATATGGTCAGTTAATATTTGACAGAGGAGGCAAAAGCAAACAATGTGTTAAAGACAATCTCTTTAATAAATGGTGTTGGGAAAATTGGACATAAAAAAGTGAAAATAGACCACCAGCTTATACCATACACAAGAATAAACTTAAAATGGATAAAAGACTTACATATAAGCTGGGAAACCATAAAAATTTGAGAAGAAAACATAGGCAGTAAAATATCAGATATCTCTTGCAGCAATATATTTTTAAGTATTTTTATTTTTTACATGCAAAATACAATATTTCAAGAAAAACAATTTTAAATATAATAAAGTTATATGCAATAAACATTAATATTTCAAGAAATATGATTTTCAATATAATAATACTACCAAAACTATACTAACCTAGTATAATATCACAAAAGTTGTAGGAAATATTAAAAATCTGCAAATAGGATTACTTCTATTATATTCTAAAATATTTTCCCCTAAATATAAAATGTAAAATAAATGATGTAATTATTTTTAAAACACCATTTTAAATTACTAATGTAAATTGATCTAGGTAAGGATAATCAATGAATGCTAACAGCCATGGAATGAAAAATTCTTGGCCAAGATATTCACACAGTCACCAAGTACATCCCACAGATTACTTATTAATTACAATGGGAAAAGGGTTTTTTTTAAAAAATATATATTTCTTTTTCAATTAGGAATAGATATTATAGAGCAATTATTTTTGTAGATCTACTGTACTCTTTGTTTTGGTTAATCCTCACTGGAGGGTAATTTTTCCCCATTGATTTTAGAGAGAGTGGAAAGAAGGGGTTAGAGGAGAGAGAGAGAGAAACATCAATATGAGGGAGACACATCAATTGGTTGCCTCCTGCATGTGCCCCAATTGGGGCAGGGAACCTACAACTCAGGAACATGCCCTTGACTGGATTCAAACCTGCCACCTTTGGGTTCTCAGGCTGATGCTCTAACCACTTAGCAACACCATCCAGGGCTGTGCCCTTTTTTTAAAATAGGATTCACCTGAAAGGGATAATTATGCTAGAATGTGAGCTGGGAATTATAGCAAAATAATAGTAATACAAGAAGAAGTACAGAACACTTCTTTTTGTACTGTGAATTTGGATTGTAGGTTCAGCAATGAGATAATTTCTGTCTTCCTATGTTGTTTTATTAGTGTTCAGGGAATGCAATTCTAATGAACACAGTTCCCGTTAAAACTATAATGTAAACTTGGTTTCTAGTGTTCACAGTTCTGAGGTCACTAGAACCATTAACTGAAATATGGAATGCATAAAATTTGGCAGTAGTAGGTAAGGCTGTTTTTTGACAAGTTGATTTTGACGTGTTAGTAAAAAAAGTGAAGATGACCTCAGGCGGTTATAAATTCAGCTCTGTTGTGATGATCCTCTCTCAAAAGAGTTTAAGGCCGGAAGTATAAATTTAGGAATCATCAGCATGGAAGTCCTGTCTGAAGACACCATAGTAAATTATGTTGAGAAAACATAGAGTGAGGAGTTGCTGATGAGGATCAAGCAGAAACTAAGGACCTGGTAATTAAGAGACCAGCAGCAATCTCCTGGTCAAAACTGACATGCAACGTGTGGCCAACAACCAAATGCAGGAGAAGACTGTGAGGAGGTAGGAATGGGATGATGGTCTCTCAAGGGTCAAGTAGCATGAAGGCACAGTGTGTCTAAGATACTGAAAACTAAGTTTTTAGGCAGAGAGGAAGAAAGGAAAAAGATTGAAAGTATATTTTTAAGTACTTATTGCCTTTTGCTTTTCCTTTGAAATTGTTTGCAACCTTTGTGGCTGCCAAGGCTCACCCAGACTCTGTAGTGTGACTTGACTTCAAGTATTTGCCAATATAAATCCAGATGTTATCTCTACAAATCTAGTGGGAAGTTTTGCCTGCTAGACATTTAGTTACAGATTATAGTGAATTTTCAGCTTTCATTTATCTTCTTGATCTAATTTTGCTATCCTAATTTTAAAAGGCCTGTTCGGTAGACAGGTACAAAATGCATAATACCCTCTTTACTAACATGACCTTGCTTTTAAAATAGGGGGAAATGGTACCTTGTAGAAAAAATGAGGATTATTTTAACTTTTTTAGCTACATAAATGTTGCCACCATGTTTGTACTAATGTGTAACTGTTCTAGAAAACAGGTATTTGAACATCCAGCATAATACAGTATATTGGTTTGTGTATTTTGGTGACTAGATAATGCTGTTAAATTCTTTGAGAGTGAGTGTGAGGGGGTGCTGTTTGTTTATGTGTGTTTCCCATTTAAAATGTTACAGCACATCGTCTGTCACTGTCTTCACGCTCTGGGGGTGGGCAGAGGTAGGGAGGGTGTGACGCTGATATTTGTGTGAATTCGGGCTTGTGATGCTGAGCTTAGTTCATCCCTTTTCTCCTCCCTTCTCCTTCCCACCAGCGCCACAGCAACATCCTCAGAGTCTGAGCATACTGCGCCCAGCGCGGGCACAGAGCCTCCCACTGCCAGCAACCTGGGGCCCAGGAGAAGAGCGAGCGCGGTGACAGCGCCTCACTGCCACCAGTCCCTGGACCACCATGGCCAAGAACCAAAAGGACAGAAATAGTTGGGGTGAGTAGAACGTGGTGACTTCTGCTGCCTGCACGGGGCCGGCCCTCTACTTTCCGCTTCTGGGGAGGAGGAGGGCCAAGGACTACCGGGCGCCAGCATCCAGGGCTGGGAGTCGGCCGAGCTGCTCCCTGTCGGGCCAGAGGAGCCATGGCAGAGCGGTATTCAGGTAACTGCGTGCCTTAGGTGAGGGCTGCGGTTTCCTGCAGCTAGAGCCTCCTGTTTCTCCCGTCTCCCTAGTCTACCTCTTCCCAGCATTTGGACAGCACCCACCCCTCGCCTCCCTGAGACTGCCTGGTTCCGCTTTAGTGATAGGTTGGCAGGAAGGCGATGAAGGTGGGAAGGGGCCTGTTGTTACTCCGTGGAGAGGAGTAAGGGCTAGGGGATCCTCAACCCCCCTCTTCCAGGGAGCGGCGAGCTCTCCTGGCGCGGGCTCCCAGCGGGCTGTGGGGCTGAACAATGAAGCGGGGAGCTTGCCGGCCCAGTGAGAGCGTTGCAGACCTGAGCAACAGAGAAGGGACGCCCGCTTGGGAGTGCCCCAGCGCTGCAATACTCATTTTTAATTTGGGGGTTGGGTGGGGAATTTGGGGAGAGGAAAGGAAAGTTGTGGTTTCCAGCCTTCTGCCCCACCCCAACCTGGTACCCCATTCAGAGTGGCATTGTTGTTTGATTTTACCGTTCGGAGGTATTGGGCTCATGATTGGGCTCATGATTCAGCACCAGGCCGAGGGGAGGGGGAAGGAGAGGCTTGGGTTCACGCCGTGAGTGGGTGGGCGGTGCTCACGCAAGCGGAGAAGAGCAAGCGCAGTGATGCAGGAGAAATCTCGGCCCCGCCCTCCTGCTCTGCTGCTCGACTTGATTTAAGATGCTTAGTGTGGGCAGGTTGGGCATCTTTTTCTGCCTTGGGCATCCAATTTCTTCCAGTCTCGGTACTAAACACGCTATCACATTAGGAACTAAAGCCTTATAGGGCATTTTATTGTATGAACCAGAGCAGATCTTAGGCTACTGTGGCTTGATGGGTAGAGATATATGTTGTTCATGAGTTTTGAATTATTATTTGGAAACTTTATACCCACTAGCTATTCAGAGCTTCTTGATTATCTTCCATATCTCAGTAAGATATATAACTGTCAATCAGACCAAGAGGTATAAATTTTAACTGGTTATTTCAGTGTACTTTTATAAAAAAGCCATATTTCTCCTTGCTCAGATTGGTCACAGGACCAGCTTAAATCCCAGTAGAAAAGGTTTACATATGAGAGATTATTCAAGGTTTGTGGTAGATATGGGGAGTTGGTAGCAGGGAGGTCTATCTTTAGTAGTCTGAGTTTAAAAGACAGTGGTTCCATTTTACTGAGGTCAGCAAACCCTAATTTAGTAGGTGTGACCATTGCAATAACACTGTTTTCTTTGCTTCTTCTGATATACAGATAAGCTTTTTCAGTGTCCCCTTTCCACCCTCCCTCCCCTTGGCTTCTAGAGTAAGATTTGCTTGAACACTCACAGTTAAGATATGTATGTTCAAGTCAGTTTTGGTCTTGATCTTTGTGCATTGTTGACTCCATCCTGTTTGGAGACAGGCATGTGAAAATTTATGGTGAGGATTAAAATTTTTCTCTTTCACAAAGCTTTGGATCATTATTCTTCAGTATTTCCTTTGGTTACAGATTTCTTATTTAGTGGAGGTTTTTTTCTCTCTTGGGAATGTGTTTCTCAAATGGGATTTTCATGAAAATCACATTGGGAACTTATTAGACATGCAGATTCCCATATGTTCCAACCAAAGCTTTTGAAATGGGGTCCAAGAATCTGCCTTTTAATTAGCATCTTAGGTGATTGAGAAGTAGGTGGTCTTTGGATGTTCCTTTCAGAAACAGTATAATTGTTTATTTATATTTGATAGAAACATATCCCAAACAGTTCACCCAGAAGACACCACGAGAGTTTCAACTCAAGTGATGAATTAGGAAAATAATACTAGAGTCACTGTGTGTTCATTGGAAATGTTCACATAAAAGAATTAGTGGAGTTGTGGAGTCTTATCTTAAAGCTCCATAGAAATGCTTTACTGCTCAGATTTTTCTTTGCTGTAAAGTATATATGACATAAATGATTTAGAAAATGTGACCTATGGAGTAGGAGCTAGAGGTTTTTGGCAAAGTATTAGTCATATCTGTCTTGACTCCATTTTATTACCAGCACCTAGTAGAATGCCTAACACATAGTAGACATTTAATAATACCAATAATAGCTAATATCATTGAGCTAATATCAATGAGGTAGGTACTATAATCCTTATGTTACATTTGAAAAGGTAAATGATGGAGCCAAGATTCCAACTCTGGCAGTTAGACTTCAATATCTTTGCCACTATGCTATACTGCCTCTTTGTTGAGATAATACCTTCTGCATTATATAGAACTACAGTTTTCAAGGCACAAATGTATTATTGCATTTGATCTTTAGTCTCTTAAGTTTGCAGGACATGCTCCCTGTTTTGCAAATGAAAAAATTGAGTCTCCCATTGGGTAAATAACTTGGTGAAAGTCACATGTTTGGCAAATTGGAGGACTAAGATTAGAACCTAGGGTTGTCTTCTAATTTATTTTCTGTAACATGATGCTGTGGAATGCTTTATAAGATATTGGGCATGGTGTCAGGGGAATAGAAAGACTAGGTCTTTGTAGAAGCCAGAGGTCACTGGTGAGAAAAAACTCAGGTGATAGCTATAAAAGACTGACCTTATCATCTATCTAGATAAATATTTCCCAGACAAGTTAGGAAGTCAAGACCTGAGGGCAAAGGTAGACTATCCAGAATTGGACAATATAGTGATTTCTAAGAAAAAGGCAAGAGATATATTTGTAAAATCGGTACAGGAGACCTAAAATTTAGATAAGGATCCTGTAGGACCATGTAACAGGTTTATTATTATCTGAGTGGTCAGAGACCTGTTAGGTCTACATGAGCCATGGGAGCTAGAAAGCAGAAAAGCATCTCTGCTGACATCCAGAATTGGGGGTGATATTTGAGGATCATATCCACAGGCACAACTGGTAAGCAGGTTTGTGAGTAGGAATGAGAATCCCACTACCTGTACCTAAATCTATACTGAACTAAAATTTGAATAAATTTAAGCTTTTAAAAATTAACTCTTCAAAGATAGGGATTATCCTTTTTTTTAATATATAAGGAATCTGAGACTCATCATGAGTTACTTGCCAGAGGTTCCATAATTTATAAATTATAGACCTAAGATAGAAATTGAGAGTTGTTTGCTTTTCCAATCCATGTGATGGGGACAAGGAACTAAAATAGTATGCCAAAAGGGGCCACACTAAGCCTATCCAGGTGTAAGCTGGTATGAGAGATCAAGGCTCTATAAATTTGATCGCCTTGGACTAGAAAAGAAGGCAAAGAATGTGCTAGTGTGAAAAGTAATGGGAACAGATGAATATCAGGAGGCAGTAGCCCAGAAAGCAGTCTTTCAGTGTTGGGTTTAGAGCTTAAGTACTACCAGAAACAAAACAGAAGTGCACTCTTTTTTGCTTATTTGCTTTTGTAATTACAGTTGGTTAAAAACTTGGGATACCACATAGGAATTTGAGTTTTCCACAATGTAACAGAAACCGTCTTTGCAATATTGCTTTAGAAAAATAATATTTGCACTAAAATGTCATCTTTTCCTGGCCCAAGAAGAAGAAACTATCTTCGCTGCACAGTATGTGTAGCAAATGTCTATTTGTTATAATTAATTTTTAGGTTTCTGTTTTTTGAGGAAAAGTTAAAAACATTTTTCCAGTTTTATTGAGAAATAATTGACATCACTATATAGGTTTAAGGTGTGTGGTATGATGGTTTTATTTACATATATCATGAAATGTTTACCATATCCATCATCTCATATAGATACAATAACAAGAAAAGAAAAACATGTTCTCCTTGTGATGAGAACTCTTAGTATCTACTCTCTTAACTTTGTTATACATATCTCATACAACAATGTTAAATATAGTCACCATGTTATACATCACATCCTTAGTACTTACTTATCTTGTAAATGGAAGTTTGTACCTTTTGACTAACTTCCTCCAATACCCCCTCCCCGAAACCCCTCACCTTTGGTAATTACAAATCTGGTCTCTTTTTCTGTGAATTTGGTAGTTTTGTTGGTTGGTTGGTTGGTTGGTTAGATTCCACATATAAGTGAGATGATACAGTATTTATCTTTGACTTATTTCACCTAGCATAATGCCTTCAAGATCTATCCTTGTTTTCTATAACTGAATAATATTCACATGTATATGGCAACATTTTTATCCATTATCCATCAATGGATACTTAGAAGATTATTTCCATGTTTTGACTGTTGTAAATAATGGTGTTATGAACATGGGAGAATAGATATCTCTTGAGTTAGTGTTTTCATTTCCTTAGGATATAGTCCTAGAATAAAATTGCTGGATCATATTTTAACTAGATCTATTTTCAGTTTTTTGAGAAATCTCCATACAGTTTTCCATAGTGGCTATATCAATGTATAATTCCACTTACAGTGCACGTGGTTCCCTTTTCTCTATCTCCTCACCAGCACATGTTATCTCTCATCTTTTTAAAAAATATATATTTTATTGATTTTTTTATAGAGAAGAAGGGAGAGAGATAGAGAGTTAGAAACATTGATGGGAGAGAAACATTGATCAGCTGCCTCCTGCACACCTCCTACTGGGATGTGCCTGCAACCAAGGTACATGCCCTTGACTGGAATTGAACCTGGGACCCTTCAGTCTGCAGGCCGATGCTCTATCCACTGAGCCAAACCAGTTAGGGCATCTCTCATCTTTTTGATGATGACTGTTCTAAAAGGCAAGAGGTGGTATTTCATTGTCATTTTAATTTCCTTAATGACTAGTGATGTCGAGTACCATCTTTCATGAACCTCTTTGCTTATCTTCCTTGGGGAAAGTATAAATACAGTCTTGAGTATAGTATAGTTACCT